TAAAAAAAAAAACTATTATAAGGGCTCAGGATATAGCTATGGCAAAGGCTGTAGTTTAAATCCTCAGTATCAAAAAAAAAAAAAAAAAAAGCCACAGAAGCACATATGTGAGTTATACATTAAGTCCCCCCACTGTAAGTCCTGTGTTCTTTGCACCAACCATACTGTCCCTGGCCCCAGGGCTGTCATCCTACTAAGTACAGGTCCTTGTCCTGCACTCACCTCCCAGCTGTTGCAGGAAATTCCTAGCCTGTCTGCTCACAGTGCCACCCCAGCCTCCCACTGCACCAGCCACATGTGAGAACCCCCTGTCCCATGCACCGCCCCTTTCCTCAACCTCCTCTTCCTTGCAGTAACTCCCACCCATCTGTCTTCTCTCCGAGTTAGTTTTATTTTTAATTTTTTTTCCAGTACCGGGGATTGAACTCAGGACCTGTGCTTGCAAGGCAGGTGCGGTGCCACTGAGCTAAATCCCCAGCCCTTGAGTTGGCTTTATTCAAGGTGCCCCAGCCTTCCTGGCCACAAGGGAGGGACCTAGCTGTGCTGAGAGACTCCCCACCCTGTGGGTCACAAGGGCGTGGCCAGTGTCACAAGGGCGTGGCCAGTGTCCCCTGTTCTTGAGGATAGTGCCTTGCCTCTTGAGTTCACTTTGAGATGGGGCTTCCTGACAGGTGAAGGGCAAAGCTACCTTCTGCTTTTTTTCCCTCTAGTACTGGGGGTGGAACCCAGGGCCTTCACACTAAGCTATGTCCCCAACCATTTTTATTTTTTATTTTGAGACAGGTCTCACTAAATTGCTTAGGTTGGGCTCAAATTTGGGATCCTCCTGCCTCAGCCTCTCAGAGTGTTGGGATTACAGGCAAGTGCCATCATGCCAACTTCAAAGCCACCTTCTTAATGGCTACACTCACTCCTGCTTGCCTGCCAGAGCCAGGAGGTGGTAATCAGGGACAGTTGCAGGTTTTAGAACAGCTTTGGGTTCTCAAAGGAGCCAGAAGGCTCCTTTGCTGTGCAGAAGGCTGGTGCCCTCCCTAGATTTCCCTCTGGGAGGCAAGGCAGGTCCCCTCCAGAGACCCCCAGCCCTGCTCCTCACCTGTTTGCCTGGATGCTCCTGACCAGGAGGAACATGCTCAAGACCACCACCATGACTGTCAGGACGAGGATGGAGTAATTCCAAGCAGATGCTGAGGAGGGACACACAGGACAGGGTCTTGAGGATAGGACGGGTGTCCCTCTGGCCCTCAAGAAATGGCCAGGGCTGGGGCTCAGACCCAGGTCCCAGCATTGGTTGTGCCCTGCTGTGCAGACAAGCTCTGGCCCTGGGGACTCTTGGGGAAGACGCAGTCTGCTTTGGGGGAGGCAGCACTGTAGCTGGATAATAGCTGTGAAAGTGGCCGAGGGGCCAGCAGGTGGGCCAAGATTAATTTTGCAATCTTCAATTTTATCTCCCTGTGTAGCACAAGGAAGAGGAAGGAGGGAGGGAGGGGAGGAAGGAGTGACAGACTGGGTTCAGGAACTGTGCAGCTGAAAGAGAAGGTGGCCCGTCTGAAGGTGGGGCCTCAGAGCACCGAAGGCTCAGGGCTCTGCATGGCTCTTCCTCAGCCAGGAATGTTCTCCCCCAGATCTACAAGGCTGAGTCCTTCCCTTCTGCCGAGTCTTTATTAAAATGTCCTCTTCTAACTGAGTCCTCCCTCGCCCTTGCCTACTGTACACTTCCTGTCTCTTCTGCATGTAATTTTCTTCTTACTGCATATCATCTATGTACTGTGGGTGTTCGTTGTTTACCTTATTTTCCATCTCTCCAGACAGGTGCCCCGTGACGGGGAGATGTTCGTGTTTTATTCACTGCTGTAACCTTAGTGCCAGAACAGCACACAGTAAGAGCTTACTAAGTACAGCCAGATGACTGGGTGACTGGGTGAGTGGCCATGGCCCACAACAAGAGACTGCAGTGCAACTGAGGCCTGCCTTGCAGGAAATGTGCCATTTAATGGGGTGCAGGACACTGCGCCAGGGCGTCACTGAATCCTGCTCTTTGTGTTGAGCCCCCCTGCCCCACCCCATGCCACCCCACCTCTGCCACCTGCCCCTTGCCACTTACCGTCTTCTACACGGAAAAACCAAATCATTTCCTCCAGCAGCTCCTGGGGCACTGGGGTGCCAGCTGGGGCTCCGATGGCCTCCTTGTTCTGGTCCATGCCCTATTCCTTAGGTCCCCTTGGTCCCAGCTGCTTCCCTGGGGTTCTAGGAGCTGAGCCCTGAGCAGATAAGCCCTGAAGATCCCTGCAAACAAAGCAGAAAGCATCACTGGCCATTGCTGGCCAGGCTGACCCCTCCTTGTCCCGCCATGCCTGAAGCCAGCTTGCCAAGGTCTTAGGACCAAAACAACCTGAACTCAGGAGAAGATAGGGCCTGGAGAGGCAGGGACCCTAGAAGGGGGAGTGGCTGAATCTTGATTAAAATTCATCATCACATGTGTGGGGAGGGGTCTGATAGAGGAGTGAAGAGGACCGAGCCGGTGACAGGCTGTGGGATTCTTGGAGCGGACATCCCTGGCGCTGGCCTGCCCACCCGCACCTCCACCCCCGGCCCTTCGGGGCTGGAGGTAGCCAATCATGGGATTCTGCCTGACCACATGACAAAGGCCGGGCCTAGCACAGGCTCAGTTTTGGAGATCTGCACACCTGAGACCCAGAGCTGGGAAGAGAGGGAGGCGCCCAAGGAAGCAGGTGCAGCCCGGGGTGGTAAGTGCTGCACAGATTGTCAGAGTTGGTTTCTGTTGTTTGGAAGGGAGGGACCTGATCTCATGCTCCTTGGATAAATTTCTTAATTTGAATCTGTTTGGTCGGTGCAAAATAAAGCAGGTTGAGCTGTGTTGACCAGACCTCAGTGTCAAAATGGCCTCGAAATTTGACCTCTTCTTGTTCTACCTTTCCATTACTACTTAACTAAAAATTTCTAGTATCCGTATTTAAAGAAAAGGTAGCTGGATGTGTTGCCATATGCTCAGAATCCCAGCACTTGGAAGGCTGAGGCAGGAAGATCACCACAAGTTTGAGGCCAGCCTGGCTGTACAGTGAGTTCAAGGCCAGCCTGAACTATTTAGCAAGAACTTGTCTCAAAAAAAAAGGTGAGATTAATTTTGACAACATCATTTGTTGAAGCCAATATATCCAAAATATCATTTCAATGTATGAGAAGTTTTACATTTTGGGGGTCCAAGTCTTTGAAATTGGGTGTAAATTGAACACTTAGGGCCTATCCCAATTTCTACTAGTCACATTTCGAGCGCTTTGTAGCCACATGGGGCTGGCTAGTGGCTGTTTACTGGATGCACTTGAAGGATGTGAAAGGGAACCCAGGAACTGCTCCCTGCCTGCCTCTGCCTCTGCCTTTGGGTGACTGTGTCTCCCCTGGGAATCCCTAGGTTCCTTGAAGAATAAAAGAGGAAATAAAGATGGAGGCAGAAATCGATGAAGTGAAGGGGGAAAGTAGAGAAGATGAACAAATCCAAAAGCTAGGTTTGTGGGCCAGGGATTTAGCTCAGTGGTTCGGGCGCCTGCCTCACAAGCACAAGGTCCCAGGTTTGATCCCTGGTACTGAAAAAAAGAAAAAAAAAGCTAGGTTTTTGATTTATTTTGTGGTACTGGAGATTGAACCTAATGCCTTCTTTGCGCTGAGCAACAGCCCAGCTCTTTTTATTTTGAGATAGGATTTCAAAAAGTTGCTAAGTTGTCGGTTATCTTCATATCAATCACATTCACTGAAATCCCAATCAAAATGGATTTTTTGAGCTGGGAATTTAACTCAGTGGCACCATGCCTGCCTCACAACCACAAGGTCCTGAGTTTGATCCCTGATACCAAAATAAAGTGGATTTTTTGAGAACCTTGATTAACTTATTCTAAGTTATGTAGAGAAATAAACAGTTGCAATTAGTCAAGTCCACCTTGTGGGGTGAAGAGACTAGTCATAGAAAATACAGTATTGGCACACAAGTTGTGATTTTGATACAAGACCCCTAGGTGGAAGGATCCGAATAGAAATTAGAGCCTCCCTTTGCACACATGGGCACTTGATACACAATAAAGGCAGCTCTACCACTAGTAGGAAAAGGAGGAATTATGTAGTAGACAGGGTAGAAGAGACCAGCTCACTGTACAGAGAAAAGTAAGTATGGATGCATGCTTTCATGAGGAAAAGCCTCCTGAATGTTAGAGGAAAATCTAACGGTAATAGAAGAGAGTAGAACTTCCTAAACAAGACCATGCAAATTCAAGTCATTTGGTAACGGCAAAATTTATTAATTTGCATAAAACATGGATATCCGTTCTTGAATAAAATAATAACACACTTTCAATTGGGATTATAGGCTTGCCATGGTTAAAATCAAGGTGGGATTGAAAGCTAGAATATAAGTGATTTTTGCAAATCAATAACGAAAGCACAGAACCCCATTAGAGGAATAGAGTGAGAATACATGTGGGTTGTTTACAAAGTTAAGAAGCCCAAAAGGCTGGCAAGCATAAGAAGGAATGGTCCAACTCTTTGGTTATCAGAAGAAGGAAAAGTGAAACTGAAAGGAGGTACCACTGGACATCTGTTAGAGATGGGCATAATTTGAAAGTTGGATGATGCCACCTTTTGGGGCCTCTAGGGCTGTAGCCTTGGGTACTGATAGAGGGGGTGGCACCAGGAAGCCACCTAATGAGCAAATGACTCAAATCAGAAGTACACGCCCCATGACACAGCAGTCCTCCTGAGAATATGTAATAAAGAAAGTATCCTGAGACGGACAGACCATACCACTGTGAAAATTCAAAACATATGCACCAAAACAGCAGCATGGACCCTTGACTTACAAACTCAATTTGTTCCCGAGGGCTGGTTGTAACTCAAGTTGTCATTTGCCTTCAGAGTCTCTCTCCTGTATAATTTTGGGCCACGCTTTCTTCCAGGCAGATCTCAGTGTCCTTAGAGAGACATTGGCCCAGGATTTCTCAATTAACCTCACACAGGAAAGGATGTTGTACTGTTCCTTCCAGAACTCTTTTTTTTTTTTTTTTTTT